GGCTCTGGGAGCGCTTGTGAGTTAAGATTCAGACTGATCCCTGTCCTACACCGTACTGCGCTGCTTGTTACAGAAGTACGAAGCAGTTGGCATCTTCTGACCCCGTGTGAGCCGAAGTCAGAGCAGCTGGTTTGAGCAACAGGCAAAACAGCTGGAAAAGTTTTACTACTGTTATTGGTGACAAACACAATATCCAAGGAAGCTGTTTCACAAGCGAGGGCTGGATGGGATAGAACAAGTGCAAACAGAGCCGTAGCAAGATATTTTTTTGGCTTCTGTTCCAGGTGTTCCCCCCTCCCACCTGCCCCAGCCCTGCGGCAGCGGCTGCCCCGGGGGTGGGGGCTGACCCGTGCCCGGCGGCGCGCAGCATCTGGGCGCTGCAGGCTGGAGCAGTGCTCCTGCGTCCCTCTGAACTACCTGGAGAATTTTAGTGGGCAGGAGCTGAACAGAAAACCAGGCTAGAGCTGGCACCCTGATGTCTCTGAGGAGGGGTAAGAGGATCCTTCCAGACCATATGCTCTGCACCTTTCACAGTTGTTGTGGTTTTCCATCTTGCCCAGATCTGGGCACATCCAGAGCTGAGGCTGGTGTATTCGCTCCAAGCTGACAAAGGACAAGGATGCCACAGACTGGGTTATGGGAGCGTCTGAAGCATCCTGGGTTTTCTGGAGAAGGTTACCCTCCTTCAGACATAGCCTCATCGCTGTTTAGCATCTGAAGCGGCGTAAAAGCCAAGGGCGGGTTTCAGGAGGTGGCCAGCACTTCTGAAATGCTACCAAGCAGGGCAGCTGTAGATTCACAAGGTCCTGAGGAAGGTTGGTTACACTGCATTCCCTGGGAAGGAGAGAGGAGAGGGCACATCTCTGGGAATAATGAAAGTATGAGATCCAGGGGACAAGATGGGACTCAGGGCCCCTTGGGTCAGTTGTCACTGCTGGCTGACTTTGGCCAAGTCCTTTCGCTACGCACCTCGCTTTTTCCATCTTCAGCCTGGGTCTAATGATGCTGCTGCAGTGCTTTGATGTTTTCTCCTGAGCAGTCCTACGTTAGAGCTGGGAATTGCTTACTGTTAATAATTGCTGGTTTATTGCTTCCAGGGAAGCAGGGGGCTGAGCTGCGCATGGGACTCCAAGCTACTGCTTGTCCTGTTTGTTTTGGCCATGCTTCCTAGAGGCATCTTTTTTTGCTCTGGATGAGTTAGGGATGAGAAAAAGCTTACTCTTGCGAGTCCTTGGGAGCTGCGCGCGCGTCCTCTGCAGCAGGGCTCTCCGGTGGAGGGCGAAGTCGGTCTTCCCTCCTCTCGATGGGGTGCCTGTGCTTGAAGCAGAATCATGTTTTTCATTTCTCTGCCTGGCTGGCTTGCAGGAGACTCATTCTCTCCATGGCTTGTCTGCCCTCCAGGTAGAACCGCAGGCCTGCACGTATCCATGCCAGTGTCCCTCCCAGCCTCTGCAGTGCCCCGCTGGCACCAGCTACGTGTTGGATGCCTGCGGCTGCTGCAAGGTGTGTGCCAGGCAGCTTGGCGAGCTCTGCTCCCTGCAGAAACCCTGTGATCATCACAAGGGACTCTACTGCGACTTCTCCAAAATCCACAGAGGCAGCGGGATCTGCTTAGGTGAGAGCTGTATGTTCTGTTATTGTGTGGTTTTCTCGTGGCCCCTTCAGCCCTCTGCCTGCAGACCTCCCAGAAAACCCACGGCATCGTCAGAATTTCCTGTAGTGCTTGGAGCTTCATCCAGCATCGTGTTGCGAGATCTGTGCCAGCCCTGCGAGCCAACAGATTCACTGATACCGATACGCACGCAACATTACTTCCTCTTGAGATGAAGGATGTTTCCAAAGGCACGAGTGGGAGTTTGGGACTCTCCCTTGCTCCTGTGATGTTGTTAGGAGGCGTCCTCTAGCCCCGTAGCGCCTGTGGGTAAATATCAGCAATCTGGACTTTTACTGGAAAGGAAAGTATGGTTGCTTGGAAAATCTCACCCAAAATCTCACTGCCCTGCCCTGGAGATTGGCGTTTTGCACTCGGCGGCTTACCTGCACGAGGCATGCCGTCTTTCTGGCTTTGGGGCCTGCGTGGAAAGTGCTGAACAACTCGTTTGCAAAGTGGTGTATATGTAGAACGTGAGAATTACTGAGCCGGGTAAATACAAATGCAGATCTCTTTTCTCTCCTAGTGCCTCTTTTCAGCCAGAAAAGAAAAATCTTTTTGATTCTCTTTTTTTGCTTAGTCGCTATTTTTAAAGCATGCAAACATTATTTTGGTGCAGAGGGAAAAAGGAGTATTTCCTCAGCCTCCTGTTCTTTGTTTAAAAACAAGACTCCTCTGCTCCGTCTCTGCCAGGAGCTGACCATTTATTTAATTTGAGCTTTTCAAAACAGTCAGGAAGGCACGAGGGCTGGAAAGCTGATGTGAAGGCTTTGGGAAGCGTTCAGCCGCTGCACGTGGCATCTCAGGAAACGCTCCGGCAGTCGCACCGCTCGCATCAACCCGAGCCAGGGGGTCTGGGGTGGAACCGCAGTGTACTGCAGTGCCAGGTTCACATTCTTTTTTTTTTTTTAACTCTAAATAATGCATTTAACTTGTAGAGGGCGCTTTCTCCTTTCTTTTGGTGAGTTTTTATGTTATTTGTTTAATTTTTCTCCCCCACTTATTGTGATCATTAGAAGCCAGATGAGCTCCCTAGTACTTTCTGTGGGCATTGATACACTAAGAACTGATGATTGAAGCTTAGTAAGGTAAATGTAGGTGTAATAACATCCAGCGGGTGTGAGCTGTAAGCTGCCTAATTAGGCCTGGAAATGAGGTGTACATTCATAGAGTAAAGGTAGCGAAATCACTGGAACGATTTACTTGGGAGGCTTCATCTCAAACACTTCACATGAAGCCTGGACATCTTTCTGAAGGAGATGCTTCGTATTCACCATGACGTATGGGTTTGTTAACAAGGGTTTTGACGTGAGCGTCCTGGACCCCTGCTGTGTAGAAAACCAGACTTGAAGACCACAATTGTCCTTCCTGCCTTTAAGTGAGAAATGAAGATTTTCATGGCAAAAATCCCAGATGAACGTAGACCAGGATGTCTCCCTGCTTGGGACATAATGGCCTCGGCTGAGATTGTGGTGATGTCCACGCCGATCTCTTGGAAAACGGGGGATTTTGGAGGCAGTGAAGGAAGCTGGAGGTAGAGAGATGAATCAAATGAAGGGAAAGATGAGTGTTTGTGGATAGGGAAGAGGGGGCTTACAGGTATCCAAATAAGACAGATGTGATGGGAGCAGAAAGGTGCTCAGGTGTCATGGGAAAAGCTTCTAGGTTGGGAAACAGCCCAAAGGCCATATCAGGAGAGACAGGAAGGGAACCATCAGAGTGAAAATTACTGTGTATTTGCCTAATGTTATCCCAGTATGTAGCATTTCACGCATTGCAGAGCAATTCCTCCCTTCCTGCAGAGACCTTGGAGTATCAGAAAGGCAGAGACGATCCTGTAGTAACTCCAGAGTAGGAGCCCAAGGGTGGTGGGGTGGCCTGAGTGGTGCGGGGAGTTGGCAGAGCTGCGACGACTGGAGCGGCCCACCTGAGCTCTGCCACATTCCCTGCAGAAAAGGGCAAAAGTGTCCTTGGCTGGACGTGGTGTTTGGGGGCGGGAGATGGCAGCGGTGCCAAGCGGAGCTGGTAAATAAAGAACCGTCTCACTCCACTGGCACAATCTGTTTTGGTGCTTTAATTGGATCAGGTCAACGGGAAAGTGAGGTCATTGTAGGGTAATGAACGGCATGACAAAACGATTGAGTTTTGAAAACATCATAAAACCCCGGAGCAGCCTGCGGTTCCTTGGGTGGGGAGGAGCGCTGCTGAGGGAACAACACGATCAGTTCATCGGGAAGGGAGAGGGCTTGGGCTAAAAAACAGTGAAAGAGGATTTAAAAATAAGCCTGAATGGTTGTGTAGAGGGAAAACGGATGGCATCCACTTTGATGGAAAAAGTGAGGATTTTGAAACTTCTAAGTAGGAGCACAGGAGTATTTTTATACCAATGGCATTGAAAAGAGTTGCAAGTTGAGATCCAGCACTGGTTAGAAACAAGGCATTAGCAGCCCGGAAGGATTTGTGTCCCCTCAAGGACTAGGTGGGATGGAAAGAGGCTCTTGCTCCTGGTTTGATCCAAACACTTTCTGTCTGGGACGATGTTCCACGGGCGAGCAGGACTAAGGGGAAAATAGATCAGATTTCCTGGTAAGCCTCCGCAAGCAGCCAAGAATCCTGCATTTTGGTAACTTACCAATAGAGGTTTGCCTGGATTTTTTTTTTTTGGTTTTTAAGGGTCCGGATTGCAGAAAGCAGCAGCTGATGAGAACTGTCCCAAAGCAGGATTTCTGTCCTGTGAACAGCTCTGAGATTTCAACATTTCATTGCAGGCTAAAAGAAAAAAATGTATATATGAAAAAAAAAATAATCTCAAAACTTTCCATGAGTTATTTAGGATGCTTGTTTGGCCATGTCAGAACTTTCCACTTCCATTATATAAAAATGTTTCATCTTGACCTTCATCGCATCTAAAATAATTACCCGAGCAAAATGCTTCCCCCTGTGGATACTGTCCAGCGAGTATATTGGTTGCGCTGTTGTAAGAGCATAAAGGAAATCTTTGATATCGAATTGAAATGCTTCAGTTGTTTCTCATCAAAAAAATTCCTGATGTTGATCTGTGCCTGCAAAACTCTTAAGCAAATGAGAGTTTTTTGCTGGAAAACTTCCACTGGAAAACTTTTGGCTAATACAGACCTAAGAACTCATGAGCATCGCCCGCACCCGCAGGCTGAAGGTGGCTCCTGTCTGTCAGATATTGTCGCGTTGCCTTTTTTGCTCATTTAAGTTTTATCAGGAGGGAGTGAAGGGCTCGTCGGAGGGCTGGAGATGAGAGAGCTGGAGATCAGAACAGAGAGAAACAAAAAAAGTTGTGGCTGTAAGGAAGAAGAGATTCATGCATCACAGAGGAGCCAAAAAGGTCATAAACCCAAAGTGTTATTTTCCTTTTGTAGGTACCTTTAGACATGTGGGGAACCAGCTGCTCTTAGGGGAATGTTGCCTTTTGGTCTCCTAGGAGGAACGAGGAGCAAAGCCACTGGCTCACATGTCGTGTCAGGAAAGCATCTTGCACAGCACCGCCGACTGGGGCTCTCTCTGAGCCGGGCAGGAAGACTCTGAGTGCAGAACGGCTGCTTACAGGCAGTGAAGACAAAAGTCCTGCTTAGGAGCTCATCCAAGTGGAGAAGGGATTTTTTCAGAGAACTTTGGGAGGTCTCGCACAGCTGGAGCCAGCTTCCAAAACTCGATGTCAGGAATAGCCTTGTGTCCAGGGAGCCAGATGTTGAATGTGCCAACTTCTGCTGCATCCAGCACTGGGAGGGCAGAGAGGGGGGAGGCTGTGCGGGGGCACTTCTCCCTCATTGGGAGCCCTGTAGCCCCCTGAGGCAGAGGCTGTGCTGCCGGCCATCTTCTCAGCTTCTCCTCCTCTTCCTCCTTCCTGCAGCACACGAGGGTGCAACTTGTGACCTGCTGGGTAAGATCTACCACAACGGGGAGAGCTTCCAGCCCACCTGCAAGCTGCAGTGCATCTGCATGGACGGGGCCATCGGCTGCATCCCCCTCTGCTCCGATGACCTGCGGCTGCCGTCCCCCGAGTGCCCCAACCCCCGGCGGGTGAAGTTTCGCAATAAGTGCTGCGAAGAGTGGATCTGCGAGGAGGGCAGTGAGGAAAACCGCTTTGAAACAGCCATGGCGGGTGAGCGGTGGGCAGGCGTGACGGGGCCGGGAGCTCTGTGCTGGGGGATAGGGGTGGGTCCAAACTGCCTTTGGACCGGGGCCCTAAGTCACGTCTGGTTTGTGACTGGCAGTGACTGCGCGCTTTGTGCACTGTGGTGTGGGTACCGAGCGCTGAACTCCAGACCCACTGAGGTGAAACCTTAGTGATGCTGCGGGGAGGCTCACACCTCCTGCGGTATCGCAGCAGAACTGGCTGGAGCTGGGCTGAGGTGGGAAATAGCCCCGTGCTTGCCTGCGTCCTCCTTCTGCTGAGAAGCTGAGTAGCTCATGGGGTGGGTCAGACCTTTGCTACTCTTCCCGAAGACTTAGACCAAGTTGGGAGCAGCCACGGAGCTGCCACGCTTTGTCCCAAGCCCTGAACCTTGTGTCTTTTCTGCATGGCTCAGTTTTCAGGGAGGATCCAGCACACAAGCCCGAGCTGAATAACCTGCAGGAGAACTGCTTGGTGCAGACCACCGAGTGGAGCGCTTGCTCCAAGAGCTGCGGCATGGGCATCTCTGCCCGAGTGACCAATGACAACCCCCAGTGCCGCCTGGAGAAGGAGACCCGGCTCTGCATGGTCCGGCCCTGCGACTTCCCTGTGGAGAAAAGCAAGGTACGGGGCTGGGGGAGAGGGGACACAACACCGTGAATGCTGGGGAGAGCCTGGTTAGGTACTTGTCAGGCATGAGCCTGTCTCACGGGGCCTGCTCCATGCTTCAACTTTTTCTGTGTCCTATTGCCCGGTGATGGAAATAGAGCATGGACCTAGGTGGACCTTTCCTTTCGCCTGATTGTCATGTCCTTGTTAACCCGCTGTTCTCTCCCTAGAAGGGGAAGAAGTGTGTGCGGACCCCAAAGCCACGCCAGAGTCTCCACTTTGAGTTTTCGGGCTGCACCAGCACCCGTTCCTACCGGCCCAAGTTCTGCGGCAGCTGCACGGACGGCCGCTGCTGTACCCCGTATGTCACCAGCACCGTGGAGGTGGAGTTCCGCTGCCCCGAGGGGGACTTCTTCCAGCGGAAGATGATGTTCATCAAGATGTGCTCCTGCCACTACGACTGTCCCCGAGACAACGACATCTTCCTGGCCACGCATCACAGGAGGATGATTGGAGACCACGTCAAGACAGAGAAGCAGTAGCCCTCTCTGTGCCCGATCCACAGGCCAAGGTGTCAAGAGGGCTCTGCAGCGCTTTCATGGCTGTGTCCCAGGACAGCGCAGCCCCTTACCCCTCTGTGAGGGGCTGTGCTCTTCAGAACAGCGCCGTTGGCCACCAGCGGTCCCAGTGGCCTTGCTAACAAGCCAAGGTGCGTGGGGGAACAGCCCCGTCCGCCCCAGGCTCCTGACCTTCACCTGGGGTGGTTGCAAAGGTCAGTGAAGGAACCAGAAACAGGCTTGAGCTGCAAACTTGATCCATGTTCCCGCTCACCAGATGGGAGAGTGGATCAAAGCCGCGTGGCTCCAGCCTGTCTCTGGCTGAGAGCACAGCGGGTACCATTCCCCGTGGCCACTGGCCTGCCAAAACCATGCGGCAAACCCAGAGCGTGGGACGGGGGCAGCCCAGGAGGCCTGAGCTAAAGCTGAGCTCTGCAGCCTGCTTTCCAGCAGAGCGGGGCTCTGCTGCGTCTTGATGCAAAGCTGCTCGGTGAGGAAAGTGCTCCTGGCCTCGTGCTGGGCTCCTGCTGAGCTTTTCAATTATTTTTGGTTAATTGGATCCCAAAAGTTGGCAAAAGCTCTTCCCCATCCTTGTACCCACCTTTCACCCTCCCACGTGCTTTCCCGTCAGCAGCTTTGTTCCAGAGCAGTTTGCTCCTAGAGGGGCCGGATCAGCTCCTGTGTGACCCGTTCTCCAGGCAGCTCAGGCTTGGGCTGTCTTTTATTTCCCCGTTAAATTCCTTTTCACCTTGTGTGACAGCGAAGAGAAGGCAACAGCGGGTTGTGTGGTGTCACTGCAGGAGACATAGCCTGGCTCAGGGCCTCCTGCAGAAGATCTGAGCCCAGGGAAGGGTTTCTTGATAGAAGAAAGGGTCCAGCCAGGCTGTAGCTTTGCCTCCAGCCCCAATTCCCTGGGGCTTGTTTCAGACCTGAGGAGCTCATCCAGCGTGGAATGGGGGTGAGCCAGGCTGCCAGGCTGAAACACGTCCCCTGCGGGTGCTGCTCCTGGCAGTTTTTTGTGCCATGACGGGCATGTCCTCTTGTGCCTTTCAGTCATCTCTTCAGAAAGGGCTCCGGGGTGGGAGAAGGGCTGGACTCCACCGGCTCCCGCATCTGCAGTGGGGCTGCAGCTACGTTTTGGCTCCACAGCCTTTGTTGGTCA